ATACCGTGATATAAAATTTTGATCATATCGCCCAGCTCTACAGACCGCTACAGAAGATCTTTCCTGCCCACAGCCACCAGCATCTACAATAAGTTTTTAGTTAAATGAGTTACAACAACACCCAATTTCCCTCTGGGATCAATAAAGTATTTTTGAATTAAATTTGAATTTGAATATAATCTGCCCATCTAACACAGTCATTGTGTTAGATGGGCAGATGATATTGCATTATATCGATCGCAGACATGAATTGAATTGAATCTAAATCATATCGTGACAGACTTTGTTATATCGAGAAATATCAAGTCRTCATCCAAACTTATCGATGTAATATCGTATTGTGATAAAGCTGGTGATTTACACTCCTATCTTTTACCATCAAAGAAAATTAAGGTGGGGACAAATGTAAACAAAAAGTGACTTTAGTCACTGAATTTAAGAAAACTATGGAAAAAACTGACAACTGCTAAAAGAGCTTTTTTCGTTTTCTGTATTTGCTTTGTCAGTCTTTTTGTTATTCAGAAGCACAGGTTGTGGTTTGAGTCAAATAACCTGGTTTTGCAGAATTTTCTGCCATCAGTGTCTCCTTTCTCCTCTCAGCAAGTCAACAAGGACGCTCACAAGGTTTCAGCCATAATTTTATGACTTAGTGAAATTCAAAGAGCAGTAGGGGGGAAAGAAAAATTGCAGCTATTTTCTTTCTGCCTTTTGTTCTGCTTTATCAGATTGGGCTAATGTTAAAGGGCTGGTCGCAGAATAAACACTATTGAAGGTGATTTCTTGATTGTTTTTTTGGATCCGAGTTTTATTATTCAGGAAGGAACTTGGTCGTTATCAGGAGGCCGACTGTTAGGAATCTGAAGGAATCAGAGAGTGGCAGGCAGCCTTTAAAGGGTGATGTCATGCTTATATAGTGGTCTGTACAGCCATTTCCTCCTCCTCCTCCTCTCATAGACGGGTGCAGTCAAAAGGGGCATAGATAGTATTTGGGTCAACCTGGGCCTTGACTGTGTCTCAGAAGACTTTATCTCCCTCAGAACATTTAATAATAACCCCAATGGGAAAATCTACTAAAAGAAAGTAAATCTCAAAAAGCAACAAACACAGTATTTACCGATTTTTCTTTCAAAGAAAATAAGCCTGAGAGGCTATCTGGAATATTTTCGGACATTTTTGCTCAAAAAAGCTCTGATTTGTGGCTCTCTGAGTGGCAGCGCATAATTGCTGTAATCCTTGTTGTGTTTATTTAACCGAGGGGGAAAATATACTGCTTGAATGTGATCCTTGAACTCGAAAATAAGTTATTCTTAGGAAAAATGCCAAGAGAAAGAAAACTTCTGGGAGTTGGAGCTCTGAGAAGTCACATCCCCAGAGGTCATTTGAACATGAGTATTTGTGTGGAAATAGGAGATTGCTGTTGTGTTGAGATGCTGCTTGTACACTCTGGTATGTGACCTTTTATAATGCTCTATGAAGCTGGAAGAGCTTGAAATGTGTTCATTGCATCAGATCATCCTAAAACATGTTTTCCAGCACAGACTCATTTCTAAAAAAAGAGCACACTAAACCCTAATTATAAAGCCATATTTGACTCTTTTTTTAAGAAATATTTTTAATATCTGTCTCTATTACTTCAGCTTACTTAAAAACATGTCAGAGGTGTTCATTTTCAGTTCTCTCAGATCTATGCAAAAACGTCTGTACTGAATAACAGAGTATAAATAGACCCGAACTGATTAACTTCAACAGAAACACCTGAGCTAAAAAACAGGAACAGGTGTGCGTGGGCGTGGCTAGACAGAGGTGCATGAATTAAAGCAGGGAAAAAAGCTGATAAGGAAACACCACCAAGATTACTGAACTCAAAGATTACAAAATACACGAAACAAAACAATGACCCCAAAAATCATAAAGATGTATCAAAAACACACAGACCAAACAAGTTGTTCTTCCTAAATTTCAAATGTGAGAAAATTTTGTGCCACTGTTGGCGGATAAACCCTTTGAAACTTAAACTTTCTGAGCACCAAAGCATAAAACTTTTTTTTACAGGGATAAAAAAATCTTCCATAAGTTAAATAAGGAAAAGTTACACCGCAGACACTGATTTGCCTCGATGGGCTGTTTGTCATGCAGATTAGATACTTTCCTTTTGGTTTTCCTCATCTGGTTAAAAGTTTTGTTTATGTTACCAGTTTTGTAACAAATTTTATAGTCAAATACCAAAACATGGACAACATACGAGTAGATGATTTATATATTGGGGTTTTCAAGGCAACACAAACTGTTGGAGGGTGTGTTAGTCATGATAATAATATGCATTTAGTGGTTACTTTCTGAAAGCTTAATTAAAATCTGTCAAGACGTATTTTACTGATGCTACAGACAAAGAACACACATGCATGGTCTAGTACAGCCATCTTTAAAGGGATTTTAAATAGACTTTCATTAATTTCTACATCCCAGCCCTGACACCTTACCCTATAAGCCTAACCTCACAGGTGCACACCTAACCCTAAATCTAACCTAAAATCAATGCACACCAACCTCAAAATGGAGTTTCACCATATTAAGACAGGTACTTATTCCTCATAATGACTACTTGTCTTGACAAGGTAGGTGTGTGTACAAGAAACGGTTCTAAAAAGGTAATAAATACACACACACACACACACACACACACACACACACACACACACAC